TGGGCCAGGAACAACACTTCCACATGATCTTTGACGCGGCCGAGCAGGCTGGGTGGCACCGGCCGCCACTGACAAGGTGTGACCACATGGGATTTGGCGTGGTTCAAGGAGAGGACAAGAAGAGGCTGAAGACAAGGCCAGGAAGGATTTTGTGCGGTCCTTTTGCATGGTCATGAGCAGTAGGGTACATGGAAGCCAAAAAGGAGTGTTAGCGAGTATATAAGTGTAAAGGGTGGGGGACCAATCGGGACCAACGTGAACTGAAAGCTGACCTATGAATACTTATGGCAGATATCCTGTAATATCCCGGTCTCCTACCCTTTGAGTGTATTGGGATGTTTCCAAGACTTCCATCAAGAGAGGATAGCTCATGATAGCTCCAAGTGCATCCAAGTGCAATATCTCCTTTTATAAATCTATGCATTGCGACCGCATAGGGGGGCCACGCTAAATCTCCGGACCCAGTTGATCCAGTTGACCCCAACAAGCTGCTGCTGCTGCTCCTACTACTGCTACTACTGCTACTACTACTACTTCTTCTTCCTCCTCTTCTTCTTCTGCCACTATCACTTCACTACCACTAGCACGACCACAGTTGCCATCGCAACTGGATCAACCGGGTTCAACCGGGTCAACTGGGTCAACTGGCACCACAGATTGACCGGCCCCCTGTGCCGGCGCACTCCTGTTGCCCTGTGTTCTCAGCTTTCGTCACATGCTCGTGGAAGGTCAGGTGATACCGTGAAGCTCAGTGACTTGCTGGATGAGGCTGTGCAAAGGGCAGCGTTTGAGGTCAGGAAGAGGGTTGAGGAGCAGCAAAAGGAGGGCGGCGAGGCTTTTTTGACTGATCCCAAGGAGCAAATGGAGGCGGCCGAACGCCTGGGCATAGCTGCAGTGCGATACTTTGATATGAAACAGAACAGGACCAGTAATTATGTCTTCAACTGGGACAGGATGCTGGATCCGAAGGGCAACTCGGCTGTCTTTCTCTTCTATGCCTACGCCCGGATTCGATCCATTCAGAGGAAAGCTGAAGCAAGTGGTGCTGGTGGTGCTGGTGGACCGAGTTCGTTCCATGTGGAGGTGATTGATCCGGCTGAGAGGGATTTGGCCATGAAGCTTGTTCAATTTCCGGATGTCATCGAAACCATTTTAGGTGACTTGCACTTGCACCACTTGACAGACTATCTCTGGGAGCTTTGCAATATACTAACGACGTTCTACGTGAAGTGCAAGGTCCTTGGAGAGGAGGCCCAAGACAGCAGGTCGGGAACACCAACATGAATTAGTGGACTGGAGGGCGACCTGTTTTATGACTCATGACATCCCGAAATCAAGGAATTCAAGTTTTTTACAGACTCAGAATATTTTAATTTCGCAATGTTGCAGTTTGAGTATATGTGTATATATAAACACACTATATAAACTATTAATATCCGTATCATCATCATTAGTGGTTTGAATTTTGAAAGGACCAAGGACCAATGAGTTTCTCCGCGCAGGTTGCTTTTGTGCGAGGCCACACGGAAAGTGATGCTGAAGGGTTTTGAGCTCCTTGGCTTTGTACCTTTGGAGAAGATCTGACCGGCAAGGGGCAAATGTACAGATGTACATCCTAGATGTACTTAAGGTCGATTTCTTTGGAGCTGAGCCTTTTACATTCTGCACAAGCAATTTCAGCGGAAACCAAAGCAAGGCATTGCTCGTGTACAGTGTACAGCAGGAAGTCAGCAACATTCTGTGAGAAAACTGCGCGCCTGGAAGCTGCAGACAGAATTCATCGCATCCCATGCTGTTCGATCTTCAGTTTTTTTTGGTGCTATTCGTTTGCGCCTTCTGCGCTGGCACACCAGCCAACGAATAGGCAGCCAGACGGAACCAGCCAGACCGACCAATTCTGTCGTCAGATCGACCAAATGAGCACTGGCCACCGAACCAATGAGCCCCGACACTCGCGACACCGAGGTTCAGACCTTTGTCAACGGAGTGCAGATGCAGGACTGGACCGTGGCATCCTGTGTGGACCGGCGGCATCACGTGGCCGTACCGGTCTTTGAGCTCCGTGGATGGGCAGAGTGTGCTGTTGGTGTCTCAGCTCCCATTATTTTTTTGGTTTTCAACTTTAAAAGTCAAACAACAAATGTTCATCAACCGGAGAAGAGAATTCCTGTTGTTTTTGTATTTTTTTCTCCCGCACATGACTCTCCAGGACTCGAGCACCAGGGACCTCATCTTCACTGTTCCTCAGATCATCAGCTTTCTCTCCATGAGTTCCAGGCTCGAGCACTTGGGGCTTTCGTTGCATGGATGGTACAACTGACATGCCCAAAACAACCAGTAGCAATTAATGAGCAGCAGGGTTGCAATGACGAAAACCTTTCAATCGTAGTTGATATGGACAGCTCCAAACACAGGTCCACTTCAGGATTTTGACACATTTTGATCATCATTTCCTCAGTGGCTGCCGCATACTTGTTCGCCTTTTGTTGCCCACAAGTGCTAAGCGGTGAGGCTGCTGCCAGGCACTGTCATCCTGACAGGCCCGGTTTTGAGCAGCCGAAACGCGATGTTGCACGGGATGTAAGAATTGCACGGGATATCGGATATCTCTAACGGACTCATAAGCACTCTCTCTCTCTCTCTCATTTCCCGTTCGACAGTATTTGTTCCCCCAGTGTCAGATGCGACTCCGGGTGAAATTGGATGTTTGAGTGGTAATTATAGTGAGTATCGGCCGGCTACGAATCGCTGCAGGGCTTTGATTTGTTGACTCTGAGGCACTCCGTTTGGCTGGAATCTCAGTTTGCTTGCGAGGGAGTGTGAATGGCATAACGGAAGAGCCAACCTGAACTTTGGACATGAACCTGGACGAGTGCAGAGGGCTAGTGCGCTTTTGGGCAATCTTGATTGAGACACCATTGTGTCTTTGTCATGAACACGCAGTCGAGGAGTCAAGGAAACGAGTCCATTCTGATCTAAGACGATGTAAGAGTGGGCCTCCGCTTCCTTCAACACACCAAACAAATCCATGGTCGGCGAAAAGCCGACGCCGAGGGGTTGCAGAGGGAAGGACGCCACAGCCCTGGTTGAAGCCGGAAGCCCCATGTGTTCGAAGGTGCTGAGCGAGCATGAAGTGCAGGTTCTCACTGTGTCTTTCCACTAGGTACAAATAAAACAGAGTCTCAGACGGCTTACAATTACAATTGAGCTTTGATAGATGTTTCAATCCGTGAAGGTGAAGAAGAGTGCTCTGTGGGTAAACTGAACTACTACAGCTGATTGCTCGAGAAAGTAGCACCCACATATTAGAGCAGGCTCTTCGCCAAAGCAGCCAGCCCAACTACTCTTTGGCAGCATATTGTCTTGGGGGGGGCGAGGGTCCAGATATTGATTTAAAGCAAATCCATGACTCTTGTAATTAGTGAAGAAAGTTTTGACTGTTTTCCACCTTGAGCTGCTCAAAGTGTGTCACATTTGAGGCCGGGAGACAAAGTGGCGGTCGAGGTGGAGGGCATCGGCAGACTGGAGAACACGTTTGGGATTCTCAGCGCGTCCGAGCTGTGTACTTTTGGATTTGGGAAAGCTTGGGATTGATTTCAGGATCCGGGCTGAACAGCTCCCGATGATTCAACACTTAGTTTCTCAGAGCTTACATGAATAATAACACTTCAGTCCTGTCAAAGCTGTGTACATTTCACTGCTTTATTTATTCTTAATGAACCTCAGAATGCCCTGGCGGCCCCCCAAGGATCGTCCCGGACACCTCAAGCACCAGCTGCTTCCGTGCGCAGCCCAAACTCTGAGAGGCCCGGCTTCGCATCTGTTTCGAACCACATTGAAAGGAGTGAACTGAAATAGAGAGAAAGGTCTCGTTTCGAGAGAAACATCATACCAATCACATGGTGCATGGTATCGGAAGATCTCACAAGGATCCACAGACAGGGACATGATTTTCCCTCATCCATTTAAACGTTCGAGATAGACATGTCTCGGTGGTCGACGTGGAAAGTTCCTGATGTCTGAAACCAGCTCTACTCCAGGTCCCAGCCGCAAGACTGTTTGAGTCGCGCGGGCACAAAAGATGCAGCCGGGCTTTGTGATGGCGTCTGGTGTTAGCCTCCTAACTATATATGCGGAAGATCTGAAGTGAAGCCACGAAGGTTTCGGTTTGACCTCAAACTCAGGGTGATGATCCTCATCCTCATGCTGTTGATTCTATTCCTGAGTCTCTGTGGCACGATAGCTGCTCAAGCCGTTGCGGCAGGTCTTCCCCATAAGAAACGCTGAAAAGATCTCAAAAGCATGATCTTTAGATTGCTGACGATTTTCATGGTTCCATTGCTGGTGACAGCAGAGAACTGCGAGCAGGAAGAATGCTTGGCTGCCGCTGTGAAGACAGATGGTTCCTTGACTTTCTACACCATCCAGGATTGTAGTGTGTATCTCTTACTGTCATGTTAATGTTTTCTTGGTTTTCTTGCAGAGACAGTTGTCACAAAGTCTCACCAAGGTCCTGACGAGGCCACGGAACTTTTGCAGGTGAAGGGTGATGCAGTGTCTGAAGAGTCCGAGCAAAAGGAGAAGAATGATGAAGAATGGGTGGCCTACAATCCTTATGGCCCCCGTGGTGGTCCTGGACATGGTTACGTTCACCACAACCCTCCTGGCCCTCGTGGTGGCTACGGCCATGGAACAACTGCAGTCCATCACAACCCACCAGGTCCTCGTGGTGGCATTGGGGGTGGCACTACTGTCTACCATCATCACGGCTATCGATGAAGGCTTGAGCCGAAGCAGCTTGGGACCTGGGATGTTTGCGACATAAG